AAATGTTTAAAAGTTGAACTTGAGGAAAACGATAAAACAGTAGTACCAAATTGATTCGGTACATTCTAGTAAAAAGATTGAATAACTTCCATGCACATATGTTATTAAAATTATTTAGAAATAACCAAGTTTAATTATTTCAATAAAGCATATAAAATAAGTTTATTAAACTAATATAGTTTGTTAATAAAAAGTACGTTACAGTCTATTTGAAGCCATAATGATTAAGTAATTGGACATCCGTTTATCTAGGAACTTTTCGCAACAGTCATATATATGCATATATGTATGTAGGTACATGGATGTGTGTATACAGAAAGAAAACTATTTATGTGATCCGTTTATGAATCTGAGGTAGTGCAGTTCACGACAAATACAGTGACTGATTTTGTATTAACCACATGATATATAATTTAATATTACACATATCTGAGAAGTGCAGTATTCGTCTTGCAATGTGTTAAATAGTTGTTTTAAATACAATGTAAATGGATACTCAACACTAGTATACTTGCCGATGAAAGTAAGTATTACATCTGCCTATACACCTGCTGTGATTTCACAGTGAAATATTTCTTTTAGGTTATTAAAATACATAAAATCAATCTTTATATTATTAACAACCTAAGTTATATTATTTTATTGGAAAATTACTTTATCGATAATTGAATACTTATACATTGTTTTCACATCCCATAGTATAGTCTACTTTAATATTTCTAAGTTTATTCAAAAAAGATAACAAAAATTTCATAGATATTACAATATAATTCATTTGTAATAGCAACAAAAATTCTTATATTTTATAAAATATATTTTTTCTGTAAAATGTTATGTTTTATTTCACAAGGAATAATATATATCTTATGATATATGTGAGTGAGTTTTATATACAAATATTGTTCCTTTTTTATAGAGATCACAATATGGCAGAACAACAACAATCGCCTCCTGGCTTTAAGCACATGTCCTTAGATAAAATTATTGAAACTATGACTGCTGATTTAGAAAGCTCCAATGGTCATTACCTCCAGTTTGGTATAAACTCACAACAAACTACGTCTCATAATTGGGGAGATTATTCATCAGGCCAAACAAGACATTATATTACTAGTCAATCACCGCACCCTACTTCACCTGCAATGCAATCAATGACACCAATGAATACTCCTTTATATATGCAAGATATGTCGAATTATGATTCTACCGCAGAGTCCATTTATTTTCCATCTCAAACAGTGAATCATTTAGGTATCAATGAAAACAATGACTTGATAGGTACAATAGATGTTGGAGGAGGCAATTACATTAATGTAATATATGGAAATGCTTCTCAAATCATGGCAGAGCAATGTCAGTTTTCAAATATAACGTCATATAGAAACCAAAACATAATTGACAGAGAATATGGTCTTTTTAACGATAGACATATTACAGTACCATCTGATTTGCCAACACAAAACTTTAATGGCAAACAGTTAATCGATAATTTAGTTGGTAATTGGGTACCAAATCAATCTGGTACATATAGTCCCTTTGGTAGTTCCCCAAATGTAACTCCAATACCACAATCATCCTCTGATATTAGAGAACCAGAAGAATTACCTAGGAGTTCCACAGATTCTCAGCATAAGAAACCTCGTGCGATAGCAGAAGTAAAACCTATGCGACCATCTTATTCAGATGTATTGACAAAATCTGCTCCAGCTACACCATCTCCTTTAACAGTTCAATCGATAAAACCAAAACCTGAATCTATGAATAAAAAGATATCCAATAAAAATTCAAAAAACAAATCTAAATCCGCTGTATTGAAGAGACAAAATTCATCTGGAAGTGATGACCATAATTCTCCAAAGCTACAAGTACCACGAAAGATCTTAGAAAAGAATAATTCGAATCTTCCACGGCGATGGGTGTCACTAGACAATCTAGGTTTGCAAACTGAATCTCATGAAATAAATACTTTTGATAGATCTAATCAATTTGAAAAGAAAAAAATGTCTAAAACACTTAAGAAAACAGAGAAAGGAGAAACACTTAATAATTCAAAAATTCAAAATAGTAATTCTAAATCTGTTGGAAATATTCCAAAACGTCCTATACAAATAAATAATAATTTAAACACAATAAATACATCCAGTCAAACTGTTTCTCTTGAAAAAATGGAGAAAAATCAACAAGTCATAAATAAAACATGTAAAGAAGAAAAGAAAATTGTTAAAGAAAAAAATTCCAAACGTTTCCAAGCTGAAAAAGCGCAGCAAATTAAAAAAGCTCAAAGAAATCGCAGGCGAGAAAACAGAGAATCACCAGTGAAAGATTTATGTAAAAATTTAAATAAATATGCTAGCCGTTGGTGTAAAATTGGATTAAAAATATTTCATTGGCTATTACACTTAGTATCTGATGTAGTTAGTATGAGTGCCAATCTTATTATTCAACTGTAAGTAATACATAATACAAAGTAGTCTTGAAACTATTTTTATTATAAACTATTTTTTACTATAATACTATGAATTAAATATACTTACGAATTTTTAAAAATGCAATAAAAAATATTTATTTATTTTTGTTTCAGTGGTAAATGTGGATGGTATCATACCATACTTTATTTAAAATACTTGTGGGTTTACTTAGCTATGACATTTTCCAAAATTCGTATTTTAAATGCTGTTGGTAAACAATTAGATAATTGGTTTGGTAACAGCAAATTTGCATTTTGGCGTAAAATAAGAGCTAAAAGTGAAGAAAAAGAAGAAAATAGTAATTGGATACGTGGTGGTCTTGAAACTAATATCGCATTACCTAGCACTGGCGAAGAAGCTATGAAAAGATTATTAGCTTGTAAAGGAAAGGACCCTTATAGTATACTTGGTGTAACACCAACGTGTTCAGATGATGATATTAAGAAATATTATAAAAGACAGGCTTTCTTAGTTCATCCTGACAAAAATAATCAGCCAGGCGCAGAGGAAGCATTCAAAATACTTGTACACGCGTTTGATATAATTGGCGAACCGGTACTACAATCTTCTGTACTGATTGTAACGAATCTATAATGAACGTTTTTCAGAATACTATATAAAAACGAATTTTTTTCTGAACGAAATATAGTTGTAATGTAATCACATTTTTCTTTTAATATCTTAGGAACGCAGACAAGCTTTTGATCAAACTAGACAAGTAGAAGCAGCTTGGGGCGAATTAAGTGATTTGCTCTCTCAACTTCATAGAAAAATGGAACAGGCAGCAAATACAATAAGGTGCACAAATTGTGGCTTGAGGCACAAAAGAATTCCTACACAACGTCCTTGTTACGCAGCGCGATTTTGTGCTCAATGTAAAATACGTCATAGCGCGAAAGAAGTAAATATTGAAAAAGCTCTTAGATGAGTGTCCACTGAATTTTCCTCCTAAATAGATTATTAAAATTTTTGAACAGGGAGACATTTGGGCAGAATCTCGTTTAATGGGTTTTCTTTGGCATTACTATGCCTGTATGGAAGGAGCAGTATATGATGTTACTGATTGGGCAGCTTGTCAAGCTGGTAACTTAAAACATCTAAGAGCCAATACACATAGCATTCAATATAGAATCGTTTTGGGTCAGCGACCACCATCGCAAACAACTAACTGTGGTAAAAAGAGACAACAAATAGATCCAAACACGAGGTACAATTTAAAACTTATATAAAGAAAATACGTGAAAGTGGTTTGTAAATTTATCATAATTTTTCTGTTAAATAGTGAAGCAGATTTTGAGGACTTTTTAAATAATTTATATAACCATAGTAAATCCGGAACTTCAAGCGCACCAGGAGATCAAAACTCCTTTAGAGATTGTAAGCGGCGTAAAACTAAACGTAAGAAGTAAAGATGGCAAGTTACTTCTTAATCTTTTAGTATTCTTTATGTATAATTACACGGTAATATACATACTTCTCTAACAAACTTTCATATTCTTGAAACAAATGTCGATAATATTCAGTGATTTTTAGCACAATATACAAATTGTATTAGAAAAAGCTCTAAAACAAGATACATAAAATTTGTTAAAATTAAAATTTACTTTAAATACAAATACAAAAAGTACATTATATGTACGTTATGTTAAATATAATAAAAATGTTTGAATGCGTTATAAATTACAATTTAAAAAAAAATGAGATTAATTTTGAACTTAAATATTAGGAGAATTTTGTCTGGAATATTAATCATTTTCATATTATATTTCTAATACAGATTAAAGATTGGAGAAGAGAGAAGTATTGAAAAATTAATAATTACAACACTTGTTGAACTATAAATGACCCTTTAATTTATCCTAAATATAATACTCATTATTAATATTACAGTAGTATTTTAACATAATGTGCAAACCGAAGCTGCATCGATTTGCTTTCATTTCAATGAAACTGAAAAGCAATGAAAAAAATTCAAGAATTGTATATCACAAAACACATGAAATATGGCGTCTACTTTCAGTAAAGTATCAATTTACCTATGCGATATGAGTATATAGAATCTTTTCATTATATGTTATATGAATTTTCATAACATGCTTTACATTTTTTTTCATTTTTCAATGACAGTCAAAATAGTAGTCTCCGCATGTAATTGATGTATATATTAACAATGTTATACAAGTAATAGTCCATGTCCGCCGATATTATAAGTTTCTGCATCATCATTATTTACTGTGAGCCATGATCTCTGAATATTTATAATTGGTAGCCTGGTAGCCTATAAAAACTAAAATAATTGGCGTTGTATAAAATAAGACTGATTTTTTTTCTTTCTTTGTTATTCATAAGTTATATACTAGATAGAAATGTTTAAAATACTCTACTTCATGTTCTTTGACATATAAATTGAAAAAATGAATGAATTTATTCTTTTAAATTGCATGCAAATGCTATAACTATTTAAACTTCAACCTGCGGATAATTGTAATGTACAAATTTCATTCTGCATCATACAAGGTACACTACAAATAATACAATTAACAAAAGTAAGGTAAAATATACGTAGAAATTAATGAATGGGTTATAAAACATTTATTTATGTTTCTTTTGTATAATAAAACTGTGCAATTCTTTGTATGTGCAGATGAAATTATAAAATGTGTATTCAATGAGTTTTATAATGGAAATACACATATTAGATAAACAGCTTATAAATTTTAGTGTAAGTATAGTAAAATATTTTCAGCTGATATCTTTATCTCCATTATTGAAAAAAAATAACTATGTTTTTTGAGCTTAAGAATTCATAATAAAGCACCTTTATGTAATTTTCATGTACATTTTGTGTTTTTATTTCACAAAATTTTTACCACTGAATGAATGAATACAATAAGATTCTTTTTGGTGAAATTTAAGAATTATTTTTATTTGAATAAAATATTTAAAACGTTAAACATGTGAATTTTTTCATTTTATACATATTACATATATACCATAGGTATGTTTACATATTTTACAATATTTGTAAGTTTTTGTTTTAATATAAAAATATATCTATCACAAAACATATACGTATCTATGACTATTAGTATCATTATTATATTACATCAAGTATACAAACTAAAGGTCACCTAATTGTAATTTAGCATTCCTTCCAAAAATACAAGTGCATCAACGTTATTGATTGCGCTTTCTACATCTCGTTTTTGTACAGTCTTTTTTTTCATCTGTGCTGTATATTTATATGATTCTTTAGCAAGGGAATCAATAAAAAGTTCCTGCAATAAAAATTAATATTAATAGCTATAGTTAAAACTAGATTAAAATTATATTAAGAGAGTTAAAATTTTTAAGATTTTATTTTTTACTGATACAGCAGATAGTTAAGAGTACTGGTACAATAAAATGAATTTTACATTTTATATTTTTCAGATCTAATTCAGATACTAATTTCATAAAAATAAAATTTCATATATATATAAGGCTAATAATATAAATATAAATATAAATGTACAAATATAAAAGTAATGAGAAATTAATCAGTGTAACTATTACATTGTAATTATACTGATACATAATAAATAATTTGTAACTACCGTAGATTTTGCAATTAAAAAAACAGCTTCTTGGTTAATCATATTCACTTCAGGATCCATTTTTATAATAGTTTTTATTCTGCCTAATGGTAGTTTTACTAATTTTTCTTTCTGTTCTTCATCGGTACGTGCATTATTCTCAATTTCTTCTTGAAAATCTTGAGAATTTTCTGCTCCCGTACTAATATTACTTTCGTTTAATTCCCTATCACTTATATTGCTTTCATTTTCAAAATTTGCCATGTCTACATTAATTCACAGTGAAAGGTAAACGTTCTCTGATAGACAAAACAAGTTTAAGTGTGTTCGAAATATAGCTAAAATAATATTGATAATATCAATCACGATACATTTTTAAATGCCTTCTAAATTTAATTTATAATTTTAAATTACAAATTATCAAGTTAAGAAAACAAATTATATAACTACTCGTTCTTTTATATGTAAATAAATACTGAAGCATCAATCTTGGCGCTCCAAACTAACCATTGAATATCAGTGTCTGAGAAAGAATTTCTATTTACTATAATAACATTCAATAATCATGTATTAAAACATATTCTAACTATACTCATTGGTGTACATCACATGATTATTTTTAATTTGTAGTTAACTTTGTAAAAATTTAAATATATCGAGAACTAGAATTTAAAAGAGATTATTATAAATTATGGTATATTATACAATTATTTTATTCATTCATTCACGTTAAGGATAGACGTTATAAAATTAATTTCATGACGGCTTAGCTCGTCATGAAATTGATTTTTCATTAGTTTATTTTGCTTTGAAAATGAGCGCTTACTTGTAATAAGCTTAAGTATAAACTCTCTCTATAATAACTTCTGTGTATATCTCTAAGTAAAATATTGTCCTTTAAGTTAATAATGCAATGGATATGTATAGTTTATAAAATGTTGTTTTGAAATTGGAAATAAAATTGTATTCTTTTATAGCAAATGTATATTTCAGTATCATACTATATCTTTGAAAATGTTATGTATTGTGTTTTGATGAGGGTTATATTAAACGTGAATGAACCGTATACCTATCCAGTACGAGAAACACAGTTGCCAATCTAAAGTGTTTAAATGCGACGGCAAATGTCTTTTCAATTTCCACATGGACATCGGGCTTTTATTTACGACTGGTAATTTGACAGTCGTTTCAAAATTTATGAAAATCTCCTGAAATATGGAAGAAAAACCTTTGAAAGGGCAGTTAACGGAAAATACAGGTTTTTAAACATAAATTACAATTTCAAGTCACGGACATATAATTTATGATATTCGTTTTTATTACAGACGTGAACCAAGATGAGTTGATTCTTCAGCAACAAAGGCGAATCGAAAAGGAGGTTAATATTTTCTGTCATTTTTGAAATTCATGTATCGAAAATTTTCTTGTCAGTTATTAATAATTTTTTAGTAGTAAATTACAAGTTATGATTAATTATTTTTGATAATTGTCATTAATGTTTATTCCTTCTGTCTTGTTTATCCTTCTTCAATAAATGTCTTGCTCACTGCATTATTTACGAATAAATTTTGCAGTGTAATACATTGAAAAGAACTTTTTATTTTATATATTTATAATAATTTATAAAGACGGCTTAGAAAATTGCTTTAGACTATTAAAAATTGTATTTAATATTATAATTTACGATTTAAATTTCTTTTTTTTATTTATTAAAAAAATAGAAAAGTGGAATGAGTTTATTGTATTTTCCAGATTTCTGAATCTATTGCTTTAGTTGGAGAAAAAGAGTCGATAAAAAGCTTGGAACGTGAATACACAGAAGATGATGTATATCTTTCAAAAGCTAAAGCATTGGGACAAAAATATTCTTACATTAGAAGAACTAGGCCAGATGGAAATTGTTTTTTTAGAGCCTTTAGTTATGCTTATCTTGAAAAATTAATTGGAAATAAGGATGAATATGAAAAATTTCGTGAACTTGCATTAAAAAGTAAAGACTGTTTAGTAGCATTAGGTTTTCCTCAATTCACAGTCGAAGACTTCCATGATACGGTAAATATAAAGAATTATTTGCAGTAATACAATAAATCTATTATTACATACACTTTATGTAACACTGAATTACTTTTACAGTAACACTCTACAAAAATATCATTTTGTTTTTGCAGTTTATGGAAGTAATTGATAAAGTAGGAGGAGACGCAGAATCAAGTTACATTGAACTGCATAAACTTTTTAACGAACAAGGTTATTCTGATTATGTTGTTGTTTATCTTAGATTAATTACATCTGGTCAATTACAACGCGAAGCTGATTTTTACCAGCATTTTATTGAAGGAGAACGCACTATTTCAGAATTTTGTCACCAAGTAATGTTATGAGTATAATTGGAAAAGAAGAGAGGGTCATACAATTCATTTAAGTTATTAAAAAACAGGTGTTTAATTTTTTTAACGTTTTTGTAGGAAGTGGAACCAATGTATAAAGAATCTGATCACATTCACATTATAGCAATGAGTACTGCTTTAGGAACAGGGGTACGAGTTCGTTACATGGATCGAGGTGCAGGAACTGAAGTAACTGCACATGATTTTCCTGAAGGTGCCACTCCATCGGTTCATTTACTGTATCGTCCTGGTCATTATGATATTCTTTACCCTTGATAAATCTCATACTGTAATACTTTGGAAAGTCTGTTTCATGACAAAAATCACTTATTTAGCGCATTTCATCTTGTGTATGTAGTAAAAATTCATAGAATTATGATTTGGTCAAATACAATGTAATGTTACAGTTATAAATAATTAATTTAAGTTTTACAATACACATTGTGAAATCATGAAGTTTTATGTGAACGAGGAAAGGTATTTACATACATATTGAATCTTCTAAAAAAGATGCGGGTTTAAATTTATTTCTGACGATTGCTTTTTAATTCTACTTATAAATGTAAGTATGCAAAATAAACAAACGATTCAACAAAAAGTACAAAATATTATTCCTCGTGTTCCAACTAAAAATTTAAATACATATACTTGTATTGATATTAAATTTTCTTTAAATTGCTAGTTTAAAAATAAAAAGTCATATCAAAGATTATATTATATTAGCATATTTTATTTTTACAATAATTGTATTTTTAATTAATAAGAACATTTTATTAAGGTACATAAATCATAATTTTAATATAACGAAATATTAATTTATAATTTCTTGTAGAAATAGGTGATTCAATAAAGCAGGCCATCTCAATATCTTTATTAAGTTAATATTTTGAACAAATTTTTAAAAAAATTTTCAGAAAATGATGTATTCATTTTTCTTAGTATGATGGTAAACTTCTAGGCAACAAAAATTGTACTGTTACACTCATGATTCAACTACTGCTTCTTAATCAATCTAATACATTTGATATAATATATTTTATATTTCATAATTTAATTGTGTTTCAGTGGAAATAAATGTAATACAATTTCAATTTATAGTAAGAGTATACAAAATATTAGAAGTACAATTACTCTATATAAAAACAAATTTTTTTACTATAACTGTCCACAATGTCTTATCTATTCTGACAGCTAAAAACTTGTGGAAAGAAGACAGTCTCGATTTATCTATCTTGTAACTATATATGTACAGTTTTTTATCATAATTATTTGTAATATCAACTCAATTGAAAATAGTGAGACAGTCTATTTTTAACAGATCATCCTACACAGTAGAAGTTCAATTGTATCATTTCATACAAACATGTAAATAACATTTCTTATAGAACTGTAACAAATTACATGAAACTAGAATATATACAAATTTATTTGAATAAATGTAGAAACATTTTTCTAAATATACTATATACAATTGAAAACTTATCATAGTAGATCTATCATGAACTTCAATCATGAAAAAACAAAAGTATAAAGTAGTATATAAAATAAGTCATATATTACCAATAAGTTTGTAACAAATTTTTATAAGTGCAATTTATCTTTGCATGGCACCTACTTGTTGATTAAATTCTTCTAATTTTATACAAATCCTTCTGATAGACTCCATCTGATATTCTAAATCTGTAACGACAAGGGCAAGTTTTTGTAAATTGGTTTCTGCAGTTTCTAAACCATGTTCCTGTTGTGCAAAATTTTTTGCACTATGCATTAATATCTGTAATCATATTTGAATTAGAGAAAAAATTAATTTTCAATATATGTTATGTCAAATTTACATGAAATATATTACATCACTACTTTTTGAACCTCTTTGTATTTGCCTTGCAAGGGAAGCAGTATTATTTACGTTGACTTGAACTCTATCAGCCAATCTCATTTTTGACTCAACAAATAAACTGCGAGCACTAGTACTCGAAGCTGACGCCATGCTGTATAAAAGTTATTTAAATTAAAATAGTTCATTTTAAATCATTTATAAATGTTTTAAAAAAGTGGTATTATATTAATAAATATTCACAAAACCCAAAAATAATATTTTTTACAAAGAAAACTGAAACATAGAATTTAAAATATTTTTTATTACAAATGAATTTTACTTTTATTAATCTGAACATTAAAATATTTAAACTATACCACACTTTTATTATTTATAAATATTGTATGAAAACAATTTGTATATTATTATTATTATTTCTATATTCAAGTATTATTAATATAAATACTTAACATTTTTAAATAAGTTTATATAAAATTACAACAAATAGTATTAAAATATTTTACGTGTTTATATATCAACGAAGTTCAATACTTCAAGTATTTCAATAGGCTGTATTTGGTATTAATTATTTTGTTTGGTAACATCAAATGTTAGACATCTATTACGTCTCTGCGCATTTTTTTTGCGCACAACTAAGCCAATGTGCAAACATGAAATAAGTTTTTAATTAATGTGTAAGTACATATATACACTTTCTTCGTAATTTCGAATTTTTTCTATTTCCTCACATCTCATTTCAAGAAAAAAATATTAATGAATACGTTAACCTATGAGGACGAAAACAATCAGTTGGTGTCTACTTTTCTCATTTGTCCGATAGAGGGCTACGAACTTCGTGCCTTTCTCGCTCCTACCGGTTTCACCACAAATAATTTATACATAGAGGTAGGTACCTACCTACATAGAATTCAGAATCTTTTCTACCAGATAAGCTTTGCCTTAAATTTATCTTCTCATTATTTCTCTTCCTTCTGACGACGCCCATTCTGAATATGCGATTGATCTTTTAACTCGGATGATCATTTAAAATTTTAATATTCTTGATATGATCACTTATAACACTGCCATGCAAAACTAGCCTTAGTCGATATAACAGGGCATGACACGAAAATGATAAAGAGGTCCTGTGACCTTTAAGAACATATGACAAAATTTTAGATTGCATATTATGTTTAATCCTATATCGTTTTTAAGTTACTAACGTGAAGGAATTAAGTTAAATACACATTTAAATTTCGCTACAAACCGCTTCCGAAACACTATCTATCGTTTTATATATTAACTCTAACCTATAAATATAAAATTTGTAAACAGTCATTTTGTACGCAAAATACATTACAAATGTAAGTATACATGTTACATATTCAGTTTTTAGTGTTTTATAAAAATTTATGAAAATGACTGACATTAATTTGATTTTTCATTTTAAATGTAAATAGAAATTTGAATTAATGTTGTAATCAATTAACGTTAAAAAATTATCTTTTGCAGAATTGATGAATTTAATATTTTTTCCATTTCTAATTCTCTAAATAAATATTTTAATTTATATTGGTATGATGAAAACTGTAATTTTAAAAAATGAGCTTTGATGATATTAGTATACAAGCTGAAGAAATTAGAAATTTAAATAAGCTTTCTAAAAAAGATGCACAGGTAATTTACTTAATAGTATTCTTTTCCTATTAGTGTTCAAATAAAAATTAAATTTCTTTTTTATACATTATATAAATTACATAGAAAATAATTGTAGATTTTGATTATTTTTAGACATTACGAAATTTAGAAATTCATTTAGAAAGTTCTGTATTACCACAGCATGAAATTGAGTCACGTGCTGGATCTCGCCCCCCAACACATAAAGAAATAGAAAGGTTTACACAATTTGTTTCTCTTAAAAAAGGATGTTATCATCCATCGGAAGATAAAATAATTAATAAAAATTGGAAAACATTTTGTAAGGTTCGTTAATTGAAATTATTCTTTTATATATGTATAAAAAAATATATAGTTTATTTCTTTCATGATTGGTCTAAAGATCCTACACTCTATATTTATAGTTACATACATGGGATCCATCAACTGTTCAACCATTCTTATTGCTGCGAGAAGGAAATGCAACATATATTCGGAGTAAAAAACAAAGACGAAAATTTGTTCAATTTTTAGCAAATGGATTACCAAACAGAACTTTATATAGTGTATACCATAGATTTAGAAATCTATTTGCAGATCGTGTACAAAGGAGGTAACATTAACAACTCATTTTTATATTCAATTAATGATTAAATAATAATTAAATTTCTTTTGAGTATTCAGAAAACAAAAAATTGGAACATAAATGACATATTTAAATTATATTTAAATTATACTAAAGTAATATAATATATCAATTTATGTTTACATTTATTTTTGTTTTTGTATGTTAAGGTTTCTTCCTGAAGAGGATGAAATGATTATAAATCATTTGGAACATAATTCAAATCTTGATGAAAAACGAAAGTATTCAGATTTAGCACAAGTTTTAAAACGTACACGAGCATCTATTTGGCGTAGATACAAACTGCTCCAGCGAAAACGTAAAAATAAATTACATAATAATTCTCAATAAAAAGAAAACTTATATATATACATATATTATAAATGCAATAAATTATAAGCTAAAGTACCTTTATAAATCTATGACTAAATCTTATCATTAATATTTCAGTTGAGTTAATCAAACATAGGCTAATATATGTTATTATTTATTTAAAAGATTGTTATAAATAATAAAGGAGTTACGTTGTTACTAGTAATTTTTTAATCATTAACTAAGTATTATCAACAGCTTATTACGATTTTATAAACTTGCAAATAATTCAGTTTTGTTTTTTGGGAACAGAAATGTTTAAACTTGCTTGTGAATGTACAAATTGTTATTAACTTGTCAAAGTGTGGTGTGAAATTCAGAGAAATAGGGAATATTCCATACAAAATTCAAGTCTCCCACAGTTACAGTGATATGTTAAATTTTATAATTTTTCATTAATTTGTATAAAGAAATTTTTAATTCTGTATAAAAGTGTATAGTACTCAATATATGCGCAAGTATAAAAAAGTTTATAATATTATATAATATTTGCAATGATATTAAGTTACGAATATGTAGAATATACAAATTTTAAAATAAATGACAATATTTAAATAAATCTTTACATTATTTTAATGAAAGAAAGAAATTTCTACTTAATTACTCTTTTCATAAATTAATGTATCAAAATATGTATTGGTTTAAATATATACAAATCTAATTATTATATAGTAAAAGCACAGTGACCACATAAGCCTAAGTACATGAAATAAATTTAAAAAGAAAGAATTATAACTTTTACTACACGATTTTAATATGAAAAAATAATATAAGGGATGTGCATAAAAGTTTTGTGATATGTATTTGATGCATATAAACATTGAAATTATACTTACATTTAGCAAATGTATTAGTAATTGTAGTACATTATAAAATTTATTATTTTCTAAAATAAAACTAATATTTGTATTAAATATATAGTTCACATTATTTAATAAATTAAATATAATATGAAATGAACTAAAAATGAAGATCAAATAATGCTTATATTGTCAATGTAAGCAGTTACAATATTGATTATTTGCAACTGCGATTACCCAGTGGAAATTATTTTTATTATAAGAGTTAAAAAATTTTCATTTATCATTAATGTATTTATATAAATAAAAATCAGTCTCTGTCTTGCACTGTATAAGTGGCAATTAGTGTTTGTATACTTTCCAACACTTTTCATTTTATATATGAAAGATTTTATTAAGTTAATAATGTATTTAATTATAGATAAATTATAATTTCATTAATCAATCAAAATTAAATGGTACCTAAAATTATTTTTGAAATGTTCCTGTTTTGTTTTTATTACATTCTTTTTTAATTAAACTTTCAGATTTTAATCGTATGTCTAAACTAGTGCTTTAAATTACTCTTTATTTTACAACACTTTTAAAAATTTTAAGTATAATTGTTACGTCCTATTGTCTGTGGATATATTTATATATCAGAACAAAATTCTGAAATAAGACATTATTATTATGATTAATTTGCTTAATGTACTTCTACGTACACTGAACCACATAAATGTAATAAAGATGCATAATATGGAGGACATTTATATTAAAATAGTAAAACTGTATAATGCTGTATTAATGTATATAAATACATATATAAATTTCTTATATAAAGTACAGCTTAGAATACAATTTATAATACTGTCAATGTCTGCAGCTATTATACTCAAATATTATAAATTTTTTAATGAAAACTGAAAGAACAAGTAGAAAAAACTAAATTAATGTTTGTTTTCTATTTTAGTGTAATGATATACAAAAATATATTTAACTATATATTCAAATTAAACGTACATACATAAATTATATACGTATGTAATATGTATGCAAATACATATATTTCAAATTATAAAATCATTATTACTATTAGCAATAATAATTAAATTTGTAAAATATTCATGTAATGAATGCATAGTGACTATACGAAGAAATAAGTTTTGTTGTAATAAAGCACTAGTCTGGATAGGTTGATTAATTATGCATGAGTATTTAAATAATTATTTCTCTGTAAAAAAGGAGCTGCTCGTATATTTACAGAAGTGCACGATATCTACAATAATGCTATATTATATACTATGAGAATCATAGCGCTTTATACTTTTCAGTATATATATAGAGAGAGTAATCTATACATATATATAGATATATATATAGATTATTGGATGCACAAATAAAGTTAGTAATTCTGATACAATGAATTGTTTGTTTTCTTAAAACATTTGTCCTATCACAGCAAGTGAGCGCACTGCAGATTGTACATTATTTACATGAATATGATGCGCAACAGTATGGCGATGGTCATCTACAACCATTTGTAAAGGATCTTCAGCATATTGAACTCGACAACGTTTTTGATGTGCAAATAAGCTACCGCTGTGACTATATGCGGCTCCACATGTTTTACATACATACGGTTTTTCACCAGAATGGGTATAAGTATGTTCTTTTAGAGTACTAAGTCTTTTGAATGCTTTGCCACATGTTTTACACAGATAATTTGCTTCCCCTGTATGTCTGGTTAAGTGTCGCCTAAAAGCTGAACTGACAGCAAATGCTGCACTACAGACATGACAAACGAATGGTTTGTCACCAGTATGAATCCTAATATGATTTGCCAAACTTGTCGTTGTAGTGAATCCACTATTGCAAGTTTTACACACGTGTGGTTTAACACCAGTATGAGTTCTCATGTGATATGTAAGAGAAGAATTACTTGGGTACACTTTACTACAAATATGACACAAGTATTCTCTTGGAACTTTTTCTTTTGGTTTGTGTGTCCTTTGATGAAGAACAAGACGAGCTTGACTAGCGCATACTTTCCTACAAATTTCACACGTAACTGGTTCAGGTTTAGGTTTATGCATTGCTACATGACGTCGAAGACCTTTTTTTGTAGCCATAATTTTATCACAATGTTGACATTTATATTCTCCAGAACCATCTTCGTCGCTTTCTTCTTTCTTAATATTTTCATTTTCTTGTAAGGTATTGGTTTGAGTAGTATTAGGAAAAGAATCATCATCCGAGTCAAAAAATTTATTGTTATCTACTAAATTGTCTAATAATCCATGACCGTGTTTTTCTGCATGTTTTTTTAATGTATCAGGTCTGAAAAACCATTTTTTACACACAGTACAGGAATACTTCTTATCCCCATGTACAAGAGCATGCCTTTTTAAATTTTTCAAGGTAGAACAATACTGACTACAGATATCACATTTGTACAATTCAGGTGCATTTTCAAATTCATCAGCTTCATTCACAATGCCAGTTTCATCATCTGTATCTTCTTCAAGTTTCATTTCTTTTTTTGGTTCTTTATTATCTTTTTGTTCATCTGTATTGATTTCCTTAATCATGTTGTTTAGCTTCTCCGTATGCGACTTTAAATGGCGTGCAAAGCTTTGAGGTTTAGAAAAACATGCATGACATAATTTACATGCAAGAGGTTTTGATGCATGTATTTTTTTATGATTCTCCATGTTTTCTTGCTTGTAGAACATTTTTAAACAGATGTCACATTTAAATTTTTTTTCATGGACAAGAGAGTGCTTTTTTAAGCCTTTTTGTGTACTATAACGCTTAGAACATACTTTACATTTAAATTTTGACTCTCCAGAATCTTGACTGTCACTTCCTGGATCATAATAACCATCGTCGACTTCATCTTCACTGTAAGTTTTATTAGACACTGATTTCAATTTCCTAGTAGATGTGCGTTTTTGAGGAACTTTTTCTTCTTTTATAACATTACGATTTAATGTACTTTCACTAAGAAATTCATCTTCTTGTTTCTTTTCAATTTCCTGTGTATTTTGATCAATATCTTGATTTTCTTCTGGTTTATCTTGGATATTTATAGTTTCAGAAAGATCGTTACCATCTTCTTGGGCCAATGAAGCTTCATGTAAATTGTTTTCAGAAATACAAGATTCTTTTTCAATTTCCTTAGATCCTTCAAATCCGATAGAACATATAAAAAGTTTTTCATTTGGTATGTCAATTTGCCCATTGCTTAGGTCAGGCTCATCTCTTGAATATGTGTTATTATGTATATATTCCTGAGGATTCGCAGCTGCTGCTTGCATTTCTTCTTTCACATAATAGTTTTCTTGATTCTCCACTTCTTGCTCTTTCGATAACACCGGTTCTGTATCTAATTCTGTTTGAGTATATGTATCCTAGATCATTCATAAAATATATACGTATTGTAATAACATATACAAAATACATTTAAAACATATCATATTTACCACAATAGTAGATTTTGCAGGTTTATTGTAGTACATTCGTAACTTAGCATCCGAATGTTGACACTGTTGCCTAAACTCATGAGCAACGCTTGCTTTGTAAATGCAAATATCACAAATTAATGAAGGTAAACCATCTTGTTCCTGAATTTCAATTGAACCACAAACTTGTATCTTTTGTGGAAGACTTGAAAAGTCATTCACATCTTGATCCGTAGCAAAAATAGGAGATAAGTTAGTACCTTCTGTAAGGCAAATTCTGCATATTCTATCCATATTTAGCGGTAAATCAAAGTATCCTGTCATTGCTTTTAAAAGCAAGAAACAGTTAATCCGTTGTATACTTCCTGTAAATTAACATAGAATATGATACAAGACATAATAGATTACAACATATTTTCATTATAAAATGTTTGTGTCTTATTTCATATTATTTTTAGTAATATAAATTTTTAAATGTTTTTAAATCTATATGGCACATATTTAAATAAATTTATATTGTATATATAAATAAATATATCATGATCCATATGTTAGAGTTTACAAAAAATAACTATATATTACAAGTAAATTTAATAAAGTTTTAAAACTATGTGACAAAGTATCGTTGTCAGTTGCGACAGTGTGGCCAGTAATATATACATAACACAAAGTGAAGATTATACATATGAACTATAAACATTTCATTCTAATATTGATCATTTTTTATGATAAATAAAAAAAGATTAATGTGTAAAAATAGAAGGTTCTCAACCTTCGGATCTTTTGTGCACCGCGAAAACATGCCACGACGTTGAGACAATGTCTTAGCAGTGATGCCCAGACAAATTAAAGTGGTACTTTTCTAAAAACTTTGTGTGCTAAAATTTCTATAACGCACAGTTTCTATTAGGTTTTACCATACGATAAAGAGCAGAGCTACATTACACATTTCATTATTGATTGTATATTTTTCGTTTCGCAACACTGTTTTATGAAAATTTTTTAACACTTTTCTACCCTTTTGTTTAAATGGCTTCCCTACATGTCTGTTAAGACCTACTACAAAAGTTGAGAGCAGTCTGAAGCAAACTCACGAAACCAGACGTATAGAGAACTTGCGAAACAGAGTGTGGATGGGTCAATACAAAGAAAAGTCATGTATATATGAACATACACTTCAGGAATATGTATACTCGCACGCAACGGTTTATTTTATAAAATAGAATATAAATGTATAATATATAAAACATACATATATACATATATGTGTATATATACATACATATATGCATGACATGATATACGCAATATACATGCATATCCGTCATGCTGAGTACGTATGGCTATAAGTGTGCGCGCGCGCGCGTATGTATTATATATATGAGAAGTTATATACATATACATTTAGAACAAAATGATAATTATACTAACATGTAATAAAAGCATCTTTCATATGAAATTATAAATTAAAAAAATTAATATATGTCTTTAGCAAAATTTTTTTCAAAATATAGTACTTTAGTATCGTATATCATATATTTAATGTGTATTAAATATATTCTATATGTACATCAATGTATATCAGCATAAGATGTGTGTGTATGCACAAGAAATTATGTAATATATGAAATACTTTTGCCAAGTAAATAATAAATTATTTTGAATATAGTTAATATAATAAATGTGTATGTACCAGAATTCCTAGATACAATTCTTATCAAAGTATAATTAGATATACATAGTCATTAAATTATTGTTTGTTCGTAATTAAATAGACTTCATATCTTGGTACTAACCAACCAATCAAAATATAACGATTGTAACTAGTGAGACTACGTGCAATATTACAAAACTTGGGAATTTTGTGTTAGAATGAACGAAATGTTAAATATGCAGTTTATCTATTTGTGATAATTCTTAGGTTTGTACATTGAAGAACTTTCTTATCCGCCGATCTGTCAAAAAATGTAAATGTTAAATTGTGATTGAAGTTTGAGACTTTTAACATACGGTAATGTTATCAAACCAAGTTATCCGATTAAGTCGGAATATTGGGCGGATGTAGAAAGAAACCTTTTAAGCGATATTGAAATATACCATTTATTTTTTAAATGCCACTATGGCTCTCCGCAAAGTAAAAGGAAATTTCGAACGCATGTTTGATAAAAATCTGACCGACTTAGTCCGTGGAATTAGGAACAACAAGGAAAATGAGGTAAACTTATAATTATATGTTTCAAATTTGTTTGAAACTTTAATTACGATGACATAACCTTATATATCTTTAAGTTAATAATCTGGATTACTTTCTGTTCATTAATAAATATATTTATTTATGTTGCTACAGGCAAAGTATATTGCACAATGTATAGAGGAAATTAAACAAGAGTTACGGCAAGACAATGTTGCAGTTAAAGCAAATGCAGTTGCAAAGCTAACATATGTAAGTTTAACATGTGGGTAATTGGTAAGTAATTACGTGTTTTATTTTATAAATAATACCAATTTATATTTGTTTAGCTTCAAATGTTGGGATATGATATTAGTTGGGCTGGTTTCAATATAATCGAGGTAATGTCCTCTGCAAAATTTACGTATAAACGTATTGGTTATTTGGCAGCAAGTCAAAGCTTTCATGCAGACACAGAAGTATGATATTATTTGAAAGTGAAGTAAATATTTAGTCCAAAAGAAATCTGATAAATAGTATATTATATTATGAGTCAGAAATATTAATGTAAAAGCATTGTTTTTTATTAGTTGCTTTTTTAGTGAGTATAATTATTAAATAATGCACATAGAAAGAGTATATTTTTTGTATGCTGCATATTTATCAAATGAATATATTTATTGTGATATAATGGCATTGTTTTAATAGGTGAAACTATTGATACACAAGAATTTGTATTATATTTGTGTTATATTAGAAAAATTTGTCAGGTTTCTGAAGACTTCAAATTAGTACAAAATAATTGAATTACTTTTACATGTAGAATTGACTATTTGCACAATTTATTACAGCTTTTGATGTTAACTACCAATATGATCCGCAAAGACCTAAATAGCCAAAACCAATATGATGCAGGGTTGGCTTTAAGTGGTTTATCATGTTTCATAAGTTCGGATCTTGCACGTGATTTAGTTAATGATATAATGACATTATTAACTTCTACGAAACCATATTTACGCAAGAAATCTGTGTTAATGATGTATAAAGTTTTCTTGCGATTTCCAGAGGCCTTAAGGCCTGCTTTTCCTAGATTAAAAGAAAAATTAGAAGATCCAGATAGTGGTGTACAAAGCGCTGCAGTGAATGTAGTTTGTGAGTTAGCAAGGAAGAATCCGAAAAATTATTTAAGCCTAGCACCTGTTTTTTTCAAGCTTATGACAACATCTACCAACAACTGGATGTTAATAAAAATTATCAAACTGGTAAGTAAATATTGTCTCTTAATTTAGTAAAAGTAAAGTGAAACAGATTAATGGAAATGTAGGCTCATTGTTATAACAATGATTAACATGAGCCAAATAATATTGGTCTTGTTTCACATGCTCAGTTCTCCACTATAACACTGATTGAACCAAAAATGGGTCGGCGACTCACTCAACCTCTAATTGACCTGATTTCAAGGTTTTCATATTATTTGACTATTTTCTTTTTGTTAAGATATATTGAAATCATAGATGTTAGCTGCGTAGAATGCATTAGTAGTATACATTTACTTTTACTATGTATTCGTAAGCATTCACTTTATATGTTGTGGAAACTATGTATAGAAATATCCACATATTAAGTCTTATCATATTTATTAGATTACAATTATATTTCCAGTTTGGCGCATTGACACCTCTAGAACCTAGGCTTGGCAAAAAATTAATAGAACCCCTTACAAATTTGATACACAGGTATTTGATATATTTTTATTAATATGCATATTAAAATACTGTGCTTGTAGTTTTGTTTATTGCTTGTAAAATAGTTTCATATTTCATTCCCATGCATATAGAAATTTTATTTAAATATTTATTACTTTTTAATAATTCATATTCATATTTTGTTACCATAGTCAAATAAAGAAAAATGTAAAGTGTAAAGTTATGTGCCTATGTCATTATTTTTCACTCCTACTTTCATTTTTTAAATTATTAAGTATTTAATATTTTGTACATATTAACTGTTCAGCTTATGATTAATATGTAATATTACTGGTTTTTAGTACATCAGCAATGTCCCTGTTATATGAATGCATAAATACAGTAATCGCTGTATTAATTTCTATTTCATCGGGAATGCCAAACCATTCTGATTCAATTCTGTTATGCGTCCAAAAGTTGAGAATATTGATAGAAGATTCAGATCAAAATTTAAAATATTTGGGATTATTAGCTATGTCGAAAATTTTAAAGACTCATCCTAAAAGTGTGCAAGCTCACAAAGATCTTATAATGCAATGTTTGGATGACAAAGATGAAAGTATAAGACTGCGTGCCTTGGATTTACTATATGGAATGGTTTCGAAGAAAAATTTAATGGAAATAGTTAGAAAATTAATGGTGCATATGGATAAAGCTGAAGGCACAGCTTATCGTGATGAATTACTTTCCAAAATTATTCAAATCTGTTCTCAAAATAATTATCAATTTGTTACTTATTTTGAATGGTAATGTAATGACATATATAAGAAATACTTAATTTTTATTCATTCGTGTAATTTGTTTAAAGCTTATTTATACTTATATTTGTAGGTACATATCTGTATTGGTTGAACTCACTCGAATGGAAGGAACTAAGCATGGACCATTAGTAGCAATTCAATTACTTGATGTAGCAATTCGTGTACAAGCTATACGAAAATATGCAGTTCATCAATGTGCCTTACTGCTAGAGGACTCTTATCTTTTAACAGGACAACCTAGAGCAACAATGTCTGAAGTTTTATATGCAGCTGCATGGATTTGCGGAGAGTTTTCCAGGTAGTGCACAATTTTTACATAAAAAATTATTTAAATATAAATTCAATTTTCAAGGAGAATATAATTAATAATTCATTATTTTAATAGTGAATTAGAAGATCCTCTAGCAACACTACAATCAATGTTACGATCACAAGCTTCTAGTTTGCCAGGACATATTCAAGCTGTTTATGTTCATAATATTTTGAAACTTGCTACAGCAACGTTATGCAAAGCTGAAAAAGATGGAGATACTGAAACAATGACACAGGTACGTGTCAATTTCGGTGTAAACTTTTTAATTTTAAATTTCATTTCTATGGAAATAATTGATATTTAATTAATTTTTGTATTAACAATGTATATTCCAATATTTTATCTCAAATTACTTCACTTTTTTTAATTGTAAAGTATATTGTGTTTCATTTTATTGCTATGTTTGAAATTATATATTTTATAATATTTACTAAAATTTATGACATTACGAAAATATGTAAATGTTTTTGTATTTTATAGATTTATGAATTGAAAGATAAAATAGCAGCTTTTGTATGCAGTGGAGACTTAGAAGTACAAGAAAGGTCTAGCTCTGCAATGGTTTTACTAGAATGTTTGAAGGAATCTCCTGGTTTAGCACAAGAATTGATGGACGCTTTTGAAGGAGAGCTTAATCCTGTTGCTCCTAAAGCACAAAGAAAGGTAATGATTGTTTATATGTTTATTATAATTATGCATATTATTAAAAGAGATTAATATTAAACAATATAAGTAAACTCGATACTTCGTTATCATTTTTACGAACACTAAAAATTTTTGTCATTATTATATATCTCAAACATTTGCATTTTTACGTATTTTGCGTATTTTTATTTGTATTTTTTAGGTGCCAATTCCAGAAGATCTGGATTTAGATTCATGGATTAATGATCCGCCGTCAGAAAGTTCAGATTCAGAAGATTTAGATATGAATGATATTTTCATTAAGACAGAGAAAATTAACGACTCTTATTCTAAACGAGACTTTAATGAACCTTCAGCAGAAGAACTTCAAAAACGCCGTGAGGCTAGGAAATTAGAACAACAAAATAATCCACATTATTTGAAAGGCACTTTTAAGAACTCTACATCATATCATAACTCATCTAATATTTATGAAGAGTTTGATAACATTCCTGTTGCGGAGTTGGATATTCCAGTGTCTTTAAAAATTACTAACAATCATAAAAGATATAAGGCACATGGAAAGAAGAAAAAGAAATCTAAGAAAAGTATGTTCAATTCTATATTACGTTTGATATGCTCTAGTAGTTTGGGAACAGTTTCAAAATAAATTAAGCATGGAGAAAAATTGTTCCCAGAAAGTTTTTTAGTTTGATGGAGAATATTATGTAGTGTATATTGTTTCTGTATATAGTATATAGTATATAATTTGTGTAATTTATATATCTATTGAGATAAGCGGAAAGATTTGCATTGATCTAAACTTTATAAGTCTTAGTAATTAACGAGTTTCTATTCAGAGAAAAGAAACTATTATATTAAAATTTTAAAAATTTAATATTGTGCTTAAAAAACTTAATTTGGAATTTCTTTCATTGTTAGACTCACAAAGAAATAAGAATTATGTAATGTTTCCCCCTATATTTATAAACTTTGGTAAGAACAAGTTTCTCAAATTTTTAATTCTTTGAGACGAATGAATACACACTACATTTTTTCAATTACTTAGTTGTAATTTTTCAAATTTGTTTAGATAAGAAGTCTGCTTCAGAAGATGAACAAGATGATTATCCTATTCAAGTAGTCAATACCGGTGTAGGTGAACTACCATCAGGTGCAGAGATAAGTGATAGTGATGAATATGATTTAGTAGATGCAAATGATCCACACAGAGCTTTAAATATTGATTTAGATATGCCGCTGAGGGATGATGAAAGGTTACCTGTTTTGGGACATAGAATTGAAAGTAAAGCAACTCAAAAGAATGTTGAAGCTAAAGGAAAAAAGAAAGAAAAAGTAAACTTTTATTTTTTCCTAATATATAGATACAGTTTTTAAATATTAATGTAAGATTAAGATTTTTAATTTAAAGACAATGTTTATAAAATTTTGTTCCTTAGGGTCATAAGAAATCAAAAAAGAAAGTTAAAGAAGTTAGGAAAAAGGAGGAATATGACAATCAATTGAAACTCACTGATATGTGGTTGGAAAATAACATTTCATCGGAAAAAATTCAACCTCCTGTCACCAGTGAATATACAGAAGTGTTTAGTGAGAAAGACTCAGAGCAGAAAGAGGTTAAGCGTAAGAAATCAAAAAGTCAGGAGAAATACAAAAAAACAGATGATGACACGAAACATCGAAAATCAAAGAAATCTAAAAGTAAAAAAGAGAAGAAATCTTCAGATTATGAGGAAACAGCTGGAATCTCAACACCGTCGAAAGAAATAATCCCAGATCTGAGATACAATTTTAATAATTCTGAAGAAAGTACAACTTTGGTACAACCATTGACTTCATATGAGGAATTAGCTAAAAATAAAATGCTTTCTATAATGTATGAATTAAAACAAATTCCTCACGAGTCAAATAAATTAGTTGCGTCAATACTTATTACAAATAATTGCCAGAAATTTATAAAGGAGTTAGTTTTCGATGTTTCAGATACACCTTCATTAAGGTTAATGAGAAATGTAAGTCGGATAAAACAATTTCAAATAAAGACGAATTTAAGGGGGGATACCACCTAGAGACATTCTAAATGTAGGTAAATTTTAGGAATTCTTTTGTTAATAATTATTAAGTGAAAACTTCTGACTTTTTTTGGGGCATATAACTGTAACCTTCTGATTTATATTTATATTTTTTTCTAAGCCAACATTATATAAAGTGGCGCAGTTATTTGCTAGCTTCAGAACCTCCTTTTCGTAAAACATCCATTGTTGGCCAACTCTATTGCAAACAACTGAAACAATCAAAGATAAAAGTTTTTGTGGATTTATAAACAGAAATATATTATCTAAAATATAGTGTAAGAATTTTTCGATATCTCAATGATTTAATTTGTTATAAACATTTGAAGCTAATTTTTTGGAGTAAAAACAAATTTTTGCACTTTAAATGCACTTTTTAAAAATTTCATAATACTTTTAAAATCCACAGAAATTTTCGTCTTCGGATGTTTCAGTTGTTTGCAATCGAGTTGATCAACAGTGATTGTTTTACGAAAAGAGTTTCTGAAGCTAGCGAATAACTGCGCCATTTTGCAACATTTTGGCTTAGAAAAAATGTAAATATAAAGCAGAAAGTTACAGTTATACGTCCAAAAAAGTTAGAAGTCTTCACTTAATAGATATTAACAAAAGAATTTCTGAAGTTTAGCTATATTTAGGACGTCTCTAAATGGCGTTCCCCCCCCCTTATTCTGATTTTATGTTAAATACAACATTAATTAAATACAATAAGATAGCGGTGTAATATACAATTTTCCTTTTTCAGCTTGGGGATGAATTTGGTATAAAACTGCCATTCCAACTACCCCCTCAAACTAGTAAAGAAACAGCATTTACTATTTTAATTTCGGATGTAACTTTTTCTCAGAGACTGAGAGGTACTCTTACATATATGTTAGAAAACAAAGAAAGTACATTGCAAGAAAAACTTGATTTTGCTATGCATCTGACATGCAGTAAATTTATGGTTGGTCATCTCTCACATAAAGATATATTGACTGAATTGCTTAAAAGTGGTCAGCTTATACATAAAGTTAAAACAGAAGTTAATCTTTCTCAAGATTTCGATGTAATTTTAAATTTGATTTGTTACAAATGTAATCTCACTCTTGTGGAACAAATTAATGATACTGCTTCCCTGTATGGGCACTCTTTAAAAGGACATCATGTGTGCCTTTTATTAAAATATAACGTAAGTAGAAATACTACTTTAAAGTTGTATATAAAGTAAAAAGTGATATATACTTATTTATTACAGAAATCTGGCAATTTGGTAATTGAAGGTAAAGGTGACAATAATACATTACTGTCAGGAATTACAGAAGAAATTTTAAGGATCCTGGCATAATGTTGGCAAAAAACGAAGTGTTTGTACTTTATGATTTCTGTCACTGCAGTCATGTACATTGCAATACTCAACTAGTAAGACGAACATTTGACAGCATTCATTACATCTAAAATAATGGCTAAAATTTGTTTGCAAACTTATTAAATATTTTCAGAGAAGAAACTTATCTAAACTCTACATCTAATTTACATAATAAAATTTGTTACGTATACATATGAACATATATATGTATATGCATAAATAGAGACGCATATGTGGTTAAGTACATATATGTGTGTGAATTAAGATTTTAACAAAAAGAAAGAACTACCGTGAAAAATACTATCAAGAATTGAAGATATCAGAATGGAAGTAGTTCATTTTACTTATACGTACTTGCAATTTATAAGTTAATGTGCAATAATAAAATAGTAATTAAATGAAATGAAATATTTTTTTTATTATCTTGGGGCATTTTACATACGATTTCTTTTATGCAATTTATTATTTGTAAATATTATCTCACTATTTTCGAAATATTTTCAGTTCAGTAATTGTCTTAAATATCTGTTAACTCAGGTTTTATATAAATGTAAAATGTGTATAGTTTATAATACTGAAATGTTGAATCATCTTGGCAAAGTGAAGACAAGAGCATATAAGTATGCGAAATATTTTTAAGAGTATTCTTGTAAAATATTGTAATGGAAAAATTACAAATTGCATATTAAAAATTAACTACTTTGTAAATTGATATCTTCAATTTTATGTTATTAGAAAATTACTAACATAATTATATTGTTGAATTCCTTCTTAAATTGTAAAATACACCCTGGACATTCACGAACTGTGTGAATGTACATCGATGTTTTTCAGCGAATCGTATACTTCCTGCATGTAATGAATTTGTAATATCAATAATTTAATACGTATAAGAACTTATGATAAGTATATAAATACGTAAAACAATAACACAATGAAACACCAAATGTAAATAGCTGACACTTGTATCCTATATTGATGAACAACATTTTTATTTTAAATATCTTTTAAAAACGAATTTCATTTATACGAAAAAAGTATCTTTTGTTAAACAGTTATTTAATTATATATGACTTTTTCTGTATTCTCGTATAACGATTTGTTTTAAAGAATAGTCGGTTATATCAATGTATATGGATAACCGTTAGATAATGAATATCATTAATAGTATAAGCCTGAAAACAATTTTTATGAATCAGGTACGATATCTCGGTTTTTTGATAGGTGTAAGCAAAATTCAATTTTTGGTAACTCACGTTTCTGATACAACATTTTTTTAATATTCATTATTCGTGCAAAGTGTTAAACTTTCTTCTTTCCTATTATATTAATATTTGAGAACATGAGTTTTGTAAAAAACGTTTCTGTGCTCTATTACAATGACACTTGTTGTGCCAAAAGTAATTAATCAATAATAATTTTGTTTTTTAAGCATAACATAAAAAGTACATTTATAACGTTAATCTTTTACTTTACATTTGCATTTACACGTATCATGAAACATATTATGAGTTCATGAAAACAAAGAATGTTTTACATTATTTGTAGTTTATTCGTTTAATAATAATAATAATCTGTTACATTTATGCATAACAAAATTTTCTTACTCTTTGTATTTAGAATATAAAAAGAAAATAGAATTAACCCGTTTAAAATATATTTTATGCAATAAATCC